CCTATACTATGTTTGGGGTTCCTTATTTTAATTATGGTATAATATACCCCAAAAGCCCTATTCTATCTATTGAGGCCCCTACATGAGGATTTAGGGTTTAGGGTTGTGTCTTGATCTTTGGAAGGCCCTCTATGCTCCTATAAAAACCAGCCGACATACCCCAATCGTCTAGGCTCCCGGAGGCGGGTTTAGGGTTTAGGGTTTAGGGTTTAGGGTTTAGGGCAGGACTTGGGTCACTACCTCCGTCTGGCTGGACGGCTTTTGGGGTTATGAAAGGCTGTTTAGGGTCTAGGGGTCTAGGGTTTAGGGTTTAGGGGTTGGCGTTTAGAGTTTAGTTGGGGCACGATTGTCAGAATCAAGACTTGCATGCGCCCGGGATTGAAAGGAGGATCAACATAAGCAGTGCTACTCTTGCATTAAAGTCCCGCGATAACTTCGTTATAAGACACCTCCCCGGATGACGGTACCTATACAATCGTCAACGCCACGTCCTTGCCTGGAGATTCCGCATGAAGGGTCTTGACGGACTTGTGGGCTGTGTTTGTTGGCGTACGGGCTTTTGATGCCAACTCCGAAGCGGGCACTTCCGAACCGGTACCGCCCAAACAGACAACTTTTACCCTGTGTGCCAGATTGAAGCTTCATTAACCTTAACATGACAGTATTCTGAAGCTCCCCTGAACCCTAAACCCTCATTAAACCCTGAACCCTGAACCCAAACCAAAACCCTATACATCCCCAGGCCCAGGCCCTGGGCCCTAAACCGCTACTTTGGCGAGGATCCAAGCATTGGAGTCGGAAGTGAGAAGGCTTGCGGGCTTGCTTGAGGCTTGGAGGGATATTAGGGAGGAGCCCGCGGACAGGGGCAGGGAGCCTTGCCGAGGCCGAGGAGGTCAAGTGATGTGGTTCGCCGGTGGAGGAGCAGATCGCCATTGCAGAGCCGCCCAATGTCGTATCCAGCGGCGGATGATTCGTATCCCATGACGGAAGATCTCGAGATACGCAATGGATGGGGCGATTGGCGTGGACGCATTGCTTTTGCAAGCTGGGTGGACAATGGAATCGTCGATCGTATCTTTTCCGTTGGCCAGCGTCTAATGCAACCGACCGCGACCCGCCCAAGCCCGAAACCCGAAACCCTCCCTAAACCCTAAACCCTAAACCCTAAACCCGAAACCCGAAACCCTAAATCCTATAAACCTTAGGTCCGAGGACCTGAACCCTAAACCACTACTGTACGGGCCTTCATAAGTAGAACAGGGGCTTTGGGGTATATTACCCAGGGTTTAGGGTTTAGGGTTTAGGGTTTAGGGTTTAGGGTTTAGGGTATTACCCTAGAACTATGTAAGAAGGAACCCCAGCGCTGGACCTGAATTCTGGCAGTCTGTCGATAGCTCAACTCTGAGAAACCCCTCAGAATAGCATAGGGTCTAGGGTTTAGGGATTAGGGTTTAGGGTTTAGGGTTTAGCATAGGTAAGTCTTAAAGGCCCCTATATTCCACCCCAGATCCCCGCCACGGCCGCAGGTGGCACGGCGGCTCTGGCTGGGAATCTTCTCTTGGGCCGGCGCATCATGCGATCAGACGAGCAGCTCGGCCTCGGGTCTCTTAGGGTATCTAGGGTTTATAGGATTAGGTTTTAGCGTTTAGGGTTTAGGATTTAAGTTTGACGGGTTTAGGATTTAGGGTTTAGGATTTAGGGTTTAGGGTGTATGGGTTTAGAATTCGGGTTTAGGGTTTTCAAGGCTCTAAAAGAAGGGTCCTACAGGGGTTTTATTGATCAGTGCTCTAGCAGGATTCTACGAGGGTTCTTTCATGGTTGAGGAAGGGCTCTATAAGGGTTCTCTACGTTTTCTGAGCGGATCTAGGGTGATGTAGCCTTATAACGATAAGGGCCCATCAGCGTATAACGTTTATATGTAGGCCTGACAAGGGGTCCTTACCGACGTACTTTGGGGTAAAGTTTTCGTGCGGTCGGGCCATCCACCCGAAACCCTA